TGCTCAAACGCAGAAACTCTGACAAGATTTGGCTCCAATTAAGCTTCGGTGCACAAATTTAGCAGATGGAGGGGGGCAAAACTCGCATATAATGCTGTGGCTCAGAGGTTTCTCTCGCAGGAGAAATTTGGACGAGATGGAAAAGCGTGCGGCTAATTAGCCGGGGAATTCTTCTGTGTCCATCCCTCACGTTCAGCCCCAACTTTCACATGAAAATATGTATCATGTCTCACAAGCAGAAGAGTCAACTCGAAACCGTTTATTTTGAGTATTTTGCTCTTTAAACTTTCTGCGGATTTGCATCAAGCTTTGTTTTGCATTTGGGCACCGAAAGTTTTCTTTCTTCTTTTTATTTTTTTATCTGAGAAGGTTTCAGTAAAAACTGTTTGCGCTGCTTTATTAAAAAAAAAAAGATTTATTTATTTTTCTTTGGAAGTCTTTAGTTTCCTATAGAATCACGTTGGCTCTAAGATCTTTTCAGTGGTTATATGGCATCTTTTTTTAAACGACGAGTCAGAAGGGTGGGTCCTTCTACAAAACGCTGAACCCGAACTGCCCCTCATGTTTGCTGCTCGAGAAAAAAAAAAGAACTCAAGTACTTTAAGGGCTCTAACACTTTGTAGACTCGCTGTGTTTGCCATGTGCTCGGTTTCTACTCGTAGTTTGAGAGCACTTTTGGGGGGTTAACCAAACTATAGAAGACCCTCTTAAACAAACAGCCATTACAGTTAATGGACAGAAGGACTTTGTTTGTCTTTGACGGCGTTCGAAAATACGACCTCAATTCACGAAGGCTGCTCTGACAGTGTCTCTGACCCTAACATACTCTCTCCGGTGGCCTTTTGGTTTTCTCGGAATTAAAGGGATTAAACGGGGGGGGCCACATTTTCCGTGCAAATGTATGCAAATATGAACGTGATGAAAGTCACTTACGCTGCCATTGAAATTAAGAGGAGATTGAAGACTGAAGTGGAAATGCGTATCATTAACGAGATACGAAAAGGTGAGAGAGCAATATATTAACACCAATGAGGGATTTCCACCTTCCGGCATCTGTCTGAAAGCGAATGAGGACAGGTGCTCCGGTTTAGAGCAAAGATTTGCCTTTATGTGCCATTTAAGTCCACCTTGTCAGTTAGTAATGCAGTTTTGCTTCGGTTTTGATGGTTTGAACATTGACCGTTGTGCTTTTAAGGCTTCGAATGACTCTTTTAATGATGTGTTTCAGAAAATGAAGGCCTATAAGTCAGACACAGACATTAGTTTCTTCGCTTCATACACAGACAGACGCGTATATCGCGCACTGACTCGGGGAAACTCTTGTAAAAAGCCTGAACCCTCCAATGTTTTCCTTTTGACAGCAACGCCGGGCATGCCAGCTCCTCCTCTTCTTCCTCCTCCTCCTCCTCCTCCTCCTCCTCCTCCCGCTGTTGGTCTCAGAGGTCATCCGAGGAGCAGCCGGGCATGGGAGAAGCACTCCGGTCCGTAGCCATTATATCATTTCCTGTTCTGTTTCCTGTCAAACTCAGTTGCCAAAATAGAGGCAAGGGGGGGGTGGAATCCCACCGTAATGGTTCTTTTTTTTTTTTTCTCACACGGGCAAAGACACAAACCAACAGGGATCATTTAAAAAAATTTTTTAGCCGTAGATGAAAAGTGCACGGTCTGTTAAAAACAAAAGAGGCCAGACACGGTCTCACAGGTGCACACGAGCCGTTCCACTCTCTTTGCAACAAGATAATCAGAGACGAGTTTTGCCTTTCATCCTCCCCTTGTACCTTTTATAACCAGCTGGTATCGATGTGGAACAAACCCCCCCCCCCCCCCCCCCCCCCCCGCCCCTGCCCTCCTGAGGCCTACTCTGCGTCATCCTCCCTCCTTTCTGGAGATGGGGGAAAATGAAGCGGTGTGAGGCTAAATATAAACTGGCAAACAGGGGGCTGGTGGTGGCATTCCTCAAAGGCAGATGGGGTGGAGGGGGGGGGGAGGGGGGGAGGGAGGGAGGTGCTCGCTTTACCTGATAAAACGCCAATTGTCTCCCCTGAGAGTGCGAGCAGATAAAATTATTTTGAGTGGGAGCACAATGGCGGAGGTGCTTATGTTAATCCCGACACTTCTTTAAAAAAAGGCGGCAAATAAGATAAGCCGCCGCCTCAAGGTAAAGAGCGAAGAGGGTGAGGAGGAGGAAGGGGGGGAGGAAGGAAAGGAGGGCTCCGCCACAGCCGCCATATTCCTCCTTCAGCCATTTCTTCCCCTCTGAATTCTCATCCAAGTTTGTGTCGCAGAATTCGTTTGCATAATTCACACCTACTCCCCGTGCCCTCCCGACAAAAACAATGCACTCGCTCTGTCACCGCGGGAGCAGAGCCTCTGCTTTCAGATCCAACCCTAGCTTTAAGGATATGTCGGGGAAAATAATTCCATCACAGACGGAGGCCTCAAAGCGTAGAAGACGAGAGGTCAAGGTTGAAACCTTCAATTATCCGCCATGGATAATTCCCGTTCCTGGTACCGGAGCGGTATCAGTAACAAATGAAAGTTTTCTCAGTGTTTTTTCTGTATGTCATACGATCCTTTTATTTAAAAAATACTTGCAGTGTGATATGGAGTGGGGCTGTGCCAGGAGTTTGAGTGGCCAGTCCTCTGGGAGGAAATTTGACATATTAGCATTGGGAATTCATTTTCCAAATAGGAACTATATGAAAATAATGTAACATTTAAAAAAAAGGGTAAGAAATATGATAGTTTTTTTTAAAAACCTCTACCAGGACCTTTGTATATGATTGGATGAGATCTGCCAGTAGATTTACGTTCTGCAGGACTTTTTACATTAATACAAATGGGTTAAATTGTATTTTTCTGAGCCATCAGGACCTTTTTTTTTCTCCTCTGAAGGTTGCGTTGAAACCCCCTTTCATGACGGTTAAATTGAATATGGCATAAAGAGAATTCTTACTCCGCATCAATAATTTTGCAGTTTTTCTACACTTAAAAACTTTTTTTGGGA